TACCAACCAATAGTTACTGAAACGATAGTGTGTACTACTAAAGCTGAAATCGGTGGCATTCTTCCTGTGATCGTAACCAACGATGTCATTTTTGTCCCACCCTATGGTAAGAGTAAGTATGATCTTGGGAGCCCTGGAAAAGATCCTTGAAAGGGAAGCGCTATGTCTAATAGTTGTCTTAATTTAAATTAAGATTTTATTGGACAACGCCTTTTCCCGCTTCGAAAGAAATCTTGAGATGATACCTTGCCCATATAAATATACCTGCGTTTTAAAAAAGATAATGTAATTATTTTGGTTAATTTTAGAAGACAATGACTATGTATTTTTAATTGTGGAACAAGATTTTATCAGCAAATAATATGTTCGCACGCATCTAACAGAAAATCAGTGCTTTGAAGATGAAGTCATCAAAATGTGATTGCGAAGAAACAACTTTTCTTTCGCGTCCCAAAATGCAAGCTGCATCAATATTTGTCTCCTTACAATTTTATCCATGCACCAACGTCTCATGCGCAAAAGTTCAGCGACGGCCGTAGCCATTAGGTCTCGAAGACGGTGGGAATAAACTAAGACTTTGAAATTCAAAATAAGTCTTTAAAATTGACTTGCACGAAAACAAACAAAAGTTTGGAGCAATAAATCAAGAAAATCGGATAGTTACACTAATCAACAAAATTTGTGGTTATTCTAATGTGATGGATATAAACAACAGATCGAGTTTATGTTACTCAGTGTCTACTTTCCAGCCAGCAATGCTTTAGTGCTGCTTTTGAGCACTCAACTTCACTCTACTCAACGCAACCGAAGTGGAGTGCTACCCGCATTCAGTGGAGCGGTAGGGTAAGCATGCGGCCAGATACCAAATGAAAAGGAAAAGAACGATAATAAGATGAAAAAAGGCGCCGGAGACTCTAAAATACCGTTAGTCGAAGTAGATCCTAGGTAAAGGTCAATACGAGAGCGGTTACGCCACGCCGCATTAAAGAACCTTCGGGAGTTTACTCAGCTAGCATGTCTTAATAGCTACACGCTTGTGTCGGCGTGAGCGTTGTAATTGTGAAAAAAAATGGATCGGGACTTACAATAAAGCTATATTTCAGAGAAAGAACTTGAGTCTACGGCTTCTGATTAGGATGGCGAACGTCCCATGTACAGTACAGTACGTGATTTTGTCACACGCTTTCCCTTATCACTTTCACAACGATTCTAGTTTGCATATAAGGCTTCGTTTACTCTGCATCCCCCAAACAACTCGCTTCTCTGCCGGTCAAACTGTGTTCACACCACTTCAACCGCAATTGTAATCACCCAGACAGCTCCACTCTAGAACATCCTCTGAATCCTTCCATTTTGCGTAAATTTCGCAACAAATTAAACTTTCCCATTTCTATCGCGCATACAATATTCATTTAGTTTTAACGTTATGAGTACTTTTCGTCCTTCTTATCTGTCTTTTGCTTTGGTAACATTTGTTAAAGGTACCTACGCTTTGCGTTTTTTTATTATAACCTTTTATTTATTGATATCATTGACTATTTCTTTCTGCTGACCTTTCGGAATCTTTGGTGTATTTGATACTTTATTAAACCGAACATGGCTGAATGATAGTAATGTTTTCAAACAAAACTTGTTTCGAATTTCTGCACATGCAGACTGGTAGTACTTTTCGAAAGGTTGCCTCCGTTTAAGTTATTATTGACATCTGTCGCCGCAGTTAATTCTATGCTGTCACTAGCGGTTTTGTCGCTCCCTTTAGAAGATATACCGTGCTTGTGGGAATGAATCCACGTAGCCGTGCTTCCGCCGCCGGTATTGTTCGCGATTGCTAGCAAAGGTTGGTATACTTCAAACCCGTTAAGCACAATCTCCGGACTCATCGCCGTGACATCTCGGAGTCTCATGCGACCATACTGGTATGCGGAAGCCTCCTCCTGCGGCAGTGGTTGATGCATCAATGCTGGCGTCTTTCGGCCAGGATCAAGTTTCACCTGGGGCCAGTCGTAGAAGCTAGCATCCGTTGGTGAACCCGAGTAGCAGATGCGCACCTTTTTGTTTGCGGTGTTTTCTAGACAAAAATGGACCAATAAGTGCATAGGTCACCCTCTCATGCACATTATCGACCTCAAAGTAATTGACTTACAAACATAATCGCATCGACACCATCACTTCACAGTGAAGGGAAGAGAACTACGGAATGAATAAGGACTTAAGCCTTAGAATTCGAATCTATTTTCCGGTCACTCTGATCAGGTGCACTGGAAGAAGCCACATAAATAAGAATCTAACTCACAGCAATCGGCTTCAAGAGCCTGCATATGCTTATTAGACCATTCACTGCGCTCTTTCCCCCATAAAGCAATCCTTTCTGGCAATTGCTGAGCTGCTCTTGCCTTAAAACTGCTTCTATGACGACTACCCAACTTTAAAATCTAATCTTAAAATCCGTTGTTCCCAGTTTAAAGTTTCTTTCTTTGTCTAACGGTTGACGTAGATCTTGTTCTTTATGTGTTTATACTTTTACTGTCCGTTGCACTTTTTCCACTGATTGCCGTACACCTCCTCCACTTCACAATGTTTAATCTCCAGTATTTTAGTATGTATACTTATACCCCATTTACCATTTCACAGCCAAGATGGACTAGTGTATTTATCAGAGAAATTTAACTGACATTACTTATTATATAGCAGGTGTTTATTCTTGAACGCACAATTTTAGCATCATCTTCTTGTCAATGCATTGGACACCCATGCCTACACGCAAACACTCCATAAACAATGCATCCATAACATATATACTGAGGGAGAAGCGCTTACAGAGCGCGCAACTGCAGTCTTCATTCAACGCAACAACGAAGCAGCCGTTACAACCGCCACAGGGAGTTGTGAACAGTTTTATCGTAAGATTGCGTGCATGTACTCGTTCAAGCTCTAACAACTCCTCCTTAACCCGAATAATGGCTGCCAA